GATGAAAAACAAAAAGGCAAATGCGGCATGTGTCTAACAATTCTTTCTCTTTAAATTGGGTAGTAAAAGCAGAACTTTCAGATGGGCAAAATTACAATCCTTCCCCATGAAAACTGGAGAGACAGGAAATGATGCAAAAACAATGCAGAAATATTTGACTGGTATTCACATTCTAGCTTGTAAACAATTTCCAATTCACTTGCCTAGACAGTTAGCCATCAGTCTGGATGTAAAGAATTTAAGCCCAACCAAGAAACAGGAAGCATCAGTTCTGACACATGTGTGTTTATTTTGGTGGCTCACATCTGCAGATTTTCCCCCTCGATGTATCCTTTCAGAGCCAAAATGAGGGAGGGAACAAAGTTATTGGGCCTATATCCATCACTGTGATTATGATAAACTGAACCACCCACTGCATCTTTAGAAGGAAGTTATTAGTTTTACAATGAAGAACTCCAACCCATATGGAGGCAGTCTAGGAGTAAAGGAAGTCTATTCAATATGATTGACTTTATTCAGTATACCCAATGGCATCCCAAAACTGAACTAGTCACATTCAGTTTAGAAACAGCTTATCTAAATGGATGTGTTCAGACTGATGTTCAAAGGCATTTGGTATGCTTTTGGGAGTCAAACATCAGCAAAGGATCTTCCGGACTTTATCTTGTGCTGATAATTAAATTACTTCCAAATAATCAGAACCTTGGATAAATAGTGAGTAACACAGTGGTGGAGGTCAAAAGTGCCACTACCAAATCTACACACCTAAGGGTATACATTAGGCTTGACAACTATACTGTATGAACCCAAAGCCTTTGAAAAATCTCCCACATACATTGAATTCTTATGGTCTTGAACAGGAGTTGAAACAAACCCTGGCCCACTGGTTAAATCTTACTGACCACCTCTTACTGTAAATAAAGTTTTATTGGGACACAGCCATCACCACTCATTAATGTACTGCTTTGTACTGCAATAAAAGAGTTAAGTAGTTGTGGCAGAGATCACATGGACTACAAAGCCTAAAATATTATCTTGCTCTTTACATAAAAGGTTTCCAGATCCCTGGTATAGAATGGTGGGTTATTTGCCGATCCTTGCTCTACAAAACCAGCTTCTGGATCAAAATTAAATTTTGTCTTGATTCTATACTTCTTTACTTAAAAGACCCTAGCACTTAAGGCTTTGGGTTGGCCCAAAGACAACCCAAACCTCCACTTGGAAACACTATAGGAATGGGTCCAAATGGCAACCCTACAGATCTGAACAGATGCCTTTTTTTCTTCTGCCCATGAGACAGATGGTCCTCAGAGAGGGGAGAATAATTCGTCCATGAGAGAGAATTCTCTGTGCAGCACTAATTTTGGAAATTTATCCCTGATCCATCTGGCCAAAAAGGATTCCTTAGGAGTACCTTTGCTATTTGAATTTGCTTAACATTCAGGAGGGGAATCCTAAGTACCAAGGCTAGAATATCAGGTATTTTCTCTCTAAATGTCAGTAAAGCTTTCCAAGTCTGCCCTTGAGATAAGAAAACTCAAATACTTGTAAGAACAAAGGGTGATTATAAGGATGAAGAACAGCTAACCACTCATTTAGGGGCCCCACTGCAAAGAATTTGTTCATTTCTCTGACAGTAAGTAACCCTTCTGGGTAAGGAAAATAAAAAGCAGACATTTTTGCCATGTGCAGAAAGTAGGAGGAGCAATATTTACTCTCTGACCCTAAATGCAACCTTCACCTTCTCATTAAGCACTCTAACCTGTCTTTGATTTTCTGACTTTGTTGTACCAAGGAGCTTTTCTCCCTGGGTAAAACCCATACATTTTCAAAGTTCATTAACTCAGATACGATGTTTTTTCCTCACTTCATTCCTAACCCTGCTTCAGAGCTGAGTATTTGTTGGGTATCCAGAAATAAGGGAGAGACAGTGGAAGAGCATTTGACTGCAGAAATAAGGGAGAGACAAAATTTAGAAGTGACAAGGAAAATTAGGCAACTGGAAATAGGAGCCCCACAGAAAGTAATTGTGTAGGGATTCTTTCCTTTCAGTTTCAGTTGACAGGCTTCTGAAGTCTGATGGTCTTGAGTTCGAGTCCCACTTCTACCACTTACTACCGAGGTAATCTTAAAGTCCTCAACTATGAACAAAATAACCTACTTTCCTGTGCAGTTATCAAAACAACTGAATAAAAATGCATATAAATCACTTAACAGTGCTTGGTTAGCAATAACTCCTTATTGTTTTTAAGTCCTTAATACATATTTAACAATCTTTATGGAGCAAAGTTCCTGCTAAGAGCATAGCTACTGTCAGAAACAGAAACAAAAGTAGACTAGGGAAAAGAATCACAAGGGAAAGCCATCTTTCTTGACTTTCTTCTAAGTCATACGTACTTGGAGACAAAGGAAAATTCTTAGTAGAAAAAAGGTCATTAAATTCAATATCCACCATTCCTATCATTAGGAACATTAGAAATATCATTAGGAACAATAACAACAACTACTTTTAGAGTGTTTTTGGCCCCAAAACCATCTGTGGAGTTACTTGTGAGCCTGCTACGCCATCCAACATTGCCTTAGTCACAACATCAAGGGACAGAAGATGCAGCCTCAAATAACTGGAGGTCTCTGTAGATGATGCTATGCCACATCAGTCAATCAAGAAATAGTTATATGCCCAGCATTATTTAGGCAGAGTAGATTATGGAAGAAAAGCGTTCCTTCTACAAAGAAAGTAGCTATAACATTAGGAAAATAATATCACCGACCCTGGTGTGGTAAAAGCACTTAGCTTAAATGTAGTCTTACGGGATTTTCTTTAAGAAGCTACTATTTGTTTACAAAATCGTAACACCTTCCATGGGAGATCCCTAGATTCGTGTACAAAACGTAGGAAGAGAGACAATGAAATAATAATAAACCAAGAAGCAAGAGTAGATTTTCAAGAAAACCAGGCTGGAGACAAAAATGACAACAGACTTTATAAATGAAAATCAATTCCTGAATTGTATCTGGAAGCAAATGGGCAGCCAGGACAGACGACAGAACACAGCTGCAGTGACTTCTAGCTGCTGTTAATCTTATAGAGCTCACCTCTGGGGCAACTCCCTTTAAGCAAAGCAACATTATCCAGCTCCTCTCGCCAGATGCTGCTCTTTCTCCAAGCTCCATGGGTTTAGGTTACATTTAAGCTCACTTTCACCCATGTTGCAAGCTAATTACAAAGAATCCACAAATGTGGGAATGAACTGGGAATACCGCAGGCTGCTGTAACAAACCTTAGCACCATCTGCTGAAATATTAAGATGCTTGTTTTAAAAGTTGACTGCCAGAGAAGCGGGTCATAGCACTGGCAGTGGGGAAGTTCTCTTTAATAATTACTTTTTACTTCTCTTTCCAGCACATAAACAGTGGAGCACTGAGCACTGAACCAAAGGTGAACAGTACAGAGATAAAAGACCACCTTTGCTTACCTTCTTCTCCTGCTCCAGGTGCCAACAGGAAGAGACCCTAGAGAGCCTTGGTCATCAAAGGACAAGAGAGATGATCAAAAGATTGTGGCATGTTTGTGTGTTTCTGCGAACAACAATTATTTGGGAAAATACATAGGAATGTCACTAAAATTCCTTTCTTTTTTATAATGATTTGGCAGAGAAACAATCAAAGTATACCTGTACTGATGGAAGACGTCATGTAAATATGGTTTCATCCAGGTGTGATCATCCCTTGGACGCTCATGGAATTTAAGGTTCTCTTTGCATACTAGATGTTTCTCTCTCATAGAACAGTCAAAATCAGCCTCAGGTTTGTGAACAAAGAGCAGGCTGACAGAGTTTCAAGGGGCTTAGGGCAGGGAAAGGAAAGTCTTATCTGATTTCATGTCACTATTCACACAATCATACACAATCATACCAGTGGACAAGAAGTAGACAACAACAGCTCTGGTCGTTCGTACTCTCTCAGCAAAGGGAAGAACATCTATCAGTCTCCATGTGATAAGGACAGCAACCACAGTAAGTAACGGCAGCCAACATCTCTTGAGCACACACACCATGTATGAGGCATTACGCGACGGGCTCCACCTGCTACACATTAATCCTTCCAACACTCTGAGGCAGGTACCGTTTTCTCATTTTATAGGGAAAGGAAACATGCTTACAGAGGGTAACAACCTTACGCAAGAGTTCATCAACCTGGAATGGGCAGAACTGGCACAGAAGCCAAGCAATCTGACCGCCCGCACAAGCACTGTGCTCTAGCACCCGCAGACATGCTGTCAGCAGGCCCGCTTACATAAGGGAGGGTCATCATAAGGTACACACAGCAACGAGGAAGACAGACTCTATAAGAGTTGAGCCACATGCTTCACAGAGACAAAAAATGGAGCCAAAGTGACTAGAGGGGCGCCAGGTCACCCATGTTCAAGACTCTTCATTCTTGTGACCACCAGCTACTCTGCCTGTCTGCTTCTCTATACTCCACCAACTGGCTTCCACTCTGTAACTGCCCAAGTCACTCACTGGCTAGACTACACATACTAGCCATTCTTGAGCCAAATACCAAGGGTCCACTTAACAGAGGTCAGGTACAAAAGCCTGGGCCATGAGGGCTGCAACTTCACACGAGTTACTGGAGAGGCAGACAAGCATGAAAGGAGCTAGGAGCACAGCAGGCCCCAGGCTGCTCACGTAGTTCTGAAAGCAACTCTCCAATCCTACTTGGATCCTGACTCAACATTTTTGGCATATACAGGGATTATTTATACCCAAAAAGGCACACAAGATTATTTCCCAGTCTCAGTAGTTTCCGTGTAGTGAATATCTAGATGAAAAAATGGGTATGTAAAGATCTCCTACTAATAAGTGTGTGAAGAGTACCAACAAAACAGACTAGTAGCCTGTGAAATCCTTTCCTCTCCCTTCTTCACTTTGTGTTTGTTTCAATGTCCTGTTTATCAGAATTAAAGGTGCATGGGGTCTGATTTCCACTTACCAGGAGGCTGGTCATTTTTCTTCATTATGTGGAGGGGTGGCTCTGAGTTTAGCTCAACCATCTGTCGTCCCTCACAAGCCTGAGGGAATCACAGCAGGACCAGGAGAGTTTGCCAACCCTCTCGAGCAGGCTCTCAGGGCAGGGTCGTCAAGTCACTTCCCAAGCCTGTGTTGACCAGACAGGAAGAACACATGACTAGATAGAAAGCCAGACATGTGGGCCTGACAGGTCGCAACAAAAGCGAAGTAACCCTGTGGGAGGAAAAAACCCATCCCCCCAACATTCACTGTCGAAGTCGCAAGTGCTCATACGGGACACTACCTTCAACTCCAAATGTCTCTAAAGCCAAGAGGCCAAAAATGGTCTCAAAGTAAGTAAGACGTTTTATGTAGACAAAAATTAATGAGGCAAACATTCAGCTGCAACATAAGCCAAAAGAAGAACAAACCTCTACAATAAGTGTAAATAATCCACTGGGAAGAATACTTCACTTTTAAAGAGGCAGGGCATTTTAAAACGTTTTCCTAAGAAAACTAAGTTCTAAAAACACGGGTATTAAGTGTTATTAGATTAGATCCCCAACTACTAATGCATTTCAATTTTACAAGCCTTTCTCCATGAGATGTTTACAATTCTCAACTATTCTGCTAACAACTTTTCCAGCCTCTTTTAAATACACTTGTAACAAACTGTTAGACTAAGCATGGGAAACCTATCCAGGTTCGGAGTCAACAACGGTGAGCGTTTGCTCAGAGGCTCTGCCATTTACCAACCTTGTTCAATTCAGCCAGTCCTTCCTCCACCTGGCTGAGTTTTAGACTGATTTTGTTGGTGTTTTGTTTGTTTAAGATTTTATTTATTCATTTTGAGAGAGAATGCACACACGTGGGGGGAGGAGCAGGGGAAGGAAGGAGAGAGAGAATCTCAAGCAGACTCTGCATTGAGTGTGGAGCCCTAGGTGGGCTCTCATGACCCTGAGATCTCAACCCAAGCCTGAAATCAAAAGTCGGACGCTTAACCAACTGAGCCAGCCAGGCGCCCCCCTGGTTGAGTTTTAGGTTCTTACCTATCCAGCCCAATCCCATCTGTGAAAGAGCAAGTTAGCATCTACCCTATCTATTTCACAAGATTATGAATACTTTTAAAACTTTAAAACTTTGAGGTAGGCAGGAGACATTTTCATTTCTAATGGCCGCATGGGCTCATGTCTTTTTTACCTAGCTTTCCACAAAATATGGCACATGTTGAGAGTAGGTTCCAGACCCCATGTTCAAATCCAAATTTAAAATCTCAGCTCTGCCAATAAATCTTGGGGATTTATTTAAGGCCATGTTTCCTCAGCTGTTAAGAATGGAACGCACAAAAGTTAGTGTATGGAATTGTGCGGTACCTCACACAGCACTCAGCTAATGGGATACTCGATGAAGCACTGGTTTTCTTATTCTAATCCCATGGTCCCTTCCACCTAAAACTTCCTGAGCTACCTGATGGTTCTGTGATACCACAATTTCTTGCAATATAGTAAGTGCATATTTTTATATATATATATCATGCCCAAAATGAACACTAAGCCTTCTTCCTAGGGCACATTCTCCAGAAAATAACCTTCCAACTTTCAGCTCTATTCCAAAAGCAGAAAAAGTCAAAACAAAAGAAACTGCCAGAGAGCATGAATTTTAAAACCCTGATAACTGGCACAGAAGAAACTTCTGCTCTCAGCAGTCACTTTATCAACTGATGAATGAGTTGCCTTTTATTATTATAGGAGGATGTTGAAAATTAAGGGCAAGGAGCAAAATCCCACATACCCAAGCTTCACCACCAAACTTAAAACGCAAAGTTTGCTGAGTTATCATACCCACAAGTAGCGAAGCAACTTTTTTCTTTTATTAGGACGTATCGAATACTTAAGGCCAGCAAAAAAGATTAACAATGGTTTAAATATTGCAGGGAAAAAAATGCTCTAGAAAAGTTTACTTGGAGGGGTTGGAGTGTGAATGTACCAGGCCCAATGTTTTTTAAAAATTTCATGATACAAACAAGAATATATTTAAACTCTAAGAGTTTTCATTTTGAGGTGAATATAAACATAGTTATGGAAAGGCATCCAACATCTACCTCCCTGCAAATGTAACAGTCATACAAGGGTGGGGCTCCCTACTTCCTGACCACACTGATCAACAGAATCATTTATAAGCCTTAAAGGTACCTATGCTCTCAATGGATAAACACAGAAAAACACCTTGAGCCAAAGTAGTAAGCAGCCAACCCTCCATACACAAAACTGCCTTAAATTGATTTAAAAAGGAAAGATTGGCTGGCCAAGTAGGCTGCTGAGTTCTGATCACTGTTTGTGGTACTTGGCAAGGGTAGTGATGAGAAATTATGAGGAGTTCTTAGAAGGAAGTGGAATCTTAGAAAAGCTGAGATACACAATTCTTCCTTTTTGAGAATAAAGAGGGCGATGCTTCCGGCCAACCCATTCAGAGGCTTCCTGGAAACCGTTCAATTATTATTTCCCTGTTCTATTTATCCTTACATATGTATTTATCTATATAAATGTATCTTCCCTTCTCATAGTGACGACAGAACACTTTCCCATCAACCTCAGTCCTTCTCGGGATAACTTTTCAGTAAGTAAGGGTAAAACTGTTGTGGACTCCACCTTCAGCCCTTGGTAAAAAGTACCCAGAGAACTGGCTACACAGGTTCTTAACTTCATGGAGTTCAGCCAACCAAATGATATAGGGAATAACCCAACCCCAGAGGCCATCTAAACACTGCTGCAAGGTATGCAGAAACAGGACAACTTCCAATGCATGCATTCCAGACATACTGAATCAATCTCTGAGCCCAGGATTCTGTTTTAAGAAGCTCTCTGGGTCCATCTTAAGCACATTCAAATTTGAGAAACACTGCCTGAGAGCACTGATTCTCAAATTTTAATGTGCATATGCATCAACCTGGTAATTCCATAAAAATGCAGATCATGGTTCAATAGGTTGGAGGACAGAGACCCAGTGAGTCTGCATTTCTAACAAGTTCCCAGGAGGTATCAGTGCTGCTGATCCATGGACAATATTTAGAATAGCAAGACCTTAGAGAACAGAGTCCAACAACACTCTTGTTCTATGTACTACAATAATTTATTAGCAATCTAATCTGGGAACCAAAATTACGTGACGTTGAAGGTTGGAAGGGTGGTAATGGTAAGTAATGAGACCCAGCCTAAGATACTGTGCAGTTTAGAAAAAATCATACCTTCCATTTCTATGCACTTCAATTTAGATAGTGAGTGCTACTGCAAAATGTATTTCCAAGTATCATTTCACCTGATCCTGCTCAATTTCTAAATTACAGCCTGGTACTTGGAGGCCTGCAATTCTAATCACACAGCAAGTGCTCAACATTCGTCAAGCCAATCGCTTCTCTTCTACCCAAGTTGCTCACCAGCCAAATGAAGGCATTTAGTCCAATTAATCTACAGGCTTAGGTACTCCTTACAGGTGCAAGAGTATGCACGACCATCAGGAAACATTAAAAACAGAAACAGCCACAACTTGTAGTCATAATTTTCTACACACAGAAAGCAGTAGGGTAACTGTGTATGTTACCACCTAAAGGACAAACGTTCTCTCGTCTCCGAAGACAGAAAAATAAAGACTTTAATCTGAACTAGGTTCCATTACAGCCTGCGAGCTTTCTGATTTCTTGGAGGTGCAGGTACCACAAGACACAAAGGAAATAATCTGAGTCCCAGTCCCCAAATGCATTCCCTGGGCATACTTTAGTTACCAAATACATAGTTGACCATTGACCTATCTGGATATGGAGAACTCTCTTTTCCATTTAATTTAGCGATGATAAAAGAAGCTAAAACACCCCCTCCGCATCAGGGGTTCCTTTGTCTCTTCAACCCTTGGGTTTTCCTATCTGTAATAGAAGGATGATATGATGCACCTTTCAGAATTACCATGAAAACTAGCAATAACTCATTTGAAATGCCCAGACTCCTGACTGGGTCATGGTTGACATTCAACAGAAGAAAGTCATTATGACAACACAGTTTTATACGATGAGAGTCTGAGACGATTTAAAGAGATATCTGTTCAAATATATGCCAGAACTCCACACAGAATGTTATGGATGGGGTATTTGTACCCGCCTCCCCATCCCCCGCCCCACAATGCACATGTAGAAATGAAATCCCCAGTGTGATGGCATGTGGAGTGTAGCCTTCGGGAGGTAATAAGGTCATGAGAGTAGACTCTCGCGAAAGGGATTAGTGTCCTCCTGCAAAGAGGCCAGAGAATTGGCTTGCTCTCTTTTCACTATGTGAGATCACAACAAAAAGTTGGCAGTCTGCAACCTGAAAGAAGACCCTCACCAGAACCTGGGCAGGCAGGAACCCTGATCTCAGATGTACAGCCACCACCACTGTGAGGAATATCCTCCTGCTGTTTAGGAACCTACCCGTCTCTAATGTTGTATTTTAGCAGCCTGAATTAAGATACTGCACGTAACATCCTGATATTCTGGCATGACTCTCTTAGGACTTAGATGTAGTCAAGAAATAACATTAGTCAAGCTATAAACTCTAAGCAGGGAATATTCTATTACCTAGAGTAAATTCAAAGAGGCCATGTTACTCTTCTGGCTATTAACACCATAATATTTCCATAAAAAAGGGAAGAACCGTGAAATCTCGTGTTTATAAATGTACACCAACACCAGGCCACCTGGGACCCCTGAGAAACTAGGCCAAAGACATTTCAACTTCTCTTTACATTTCTGCCTCATTCTCACTGATACACATGCTATGCAGACATAGAACCAGATTATACACTGTCCAAGAGAAAAGACATTAACTGTTCATATCCTTAACATTCACATTTAGAAGACCTTTCTACTCAAGAACAGAAACAGAATGTGTATCAGAAGTCCCTGGGTGGGCAGACTTGTACTTCCTCCTGGAGCACCGTAATCCCTTCCCCATACTTTCCCTGGGGTCATCATTTTACAATTTAGTTATTATTTCTGACCCTGACTCGCCCTCAAAACAAGCAAGCGAACCTGAATTGTTTAAGAAACACAGGTACTAGGGGCTCCTGGGTGGTTCAGTGGGTTAAAGCCTCTGCCTTTGGCTCAGGTCATGATCCCAGGGTCGTGGGATCGAGCCCCACATGGGGGGCAGGGGTGTCTCTGCTCAGCGGGGAACCCGCTTCCCTCTCTCTCTGCCTGCCTCTCTGCCTACTTGTGATCTCACTCGGTCAAATAAATAAATAAAGTCTTTAAAAAAGAAACAAACAAACAAACACAGATAGTACAAGCATTAATTTCCTGACAGAGAAAATACATTTAAGAATATACTGGGTCTAGGGACGCCTAGGTGGCTCAGTCGGTTAATTGTTGTCTGCCTTTGGCTCAGGTCATGATCTCTGGGTCCTGGGATTAAGCCCTGCATCAGGTTCTCTGCTCAGCAAGGAGTCTGCTTCTCCTTCTCATTCTCCATCTGTGTAAAGGCACGCACTCTCTCTCTAACAAATTTTTTAAGAATCTTAAAGAAAAAAAAAAAAAAAGAATAAACTAGGTCTCATACCAACTCAAATTCGGAATAGACAGCAGCTCCTCAAACTTCATCCTTCCCTTTTATGTATTCTACAAGTAGGCTGAATGCTTACAATGTGCAAGGTGCTATAGTGGACACAGAGGAAAAGGAACACCAAGCTGAATCACAGAAACATCCTACTCTAGGGAATTCCCCAGTCTAGAAAGTGAGCTAAAACATGAACAAACATATCTATGTATTACGGACTTTGCAAACATACACACACACACTCCAAAACACCCCAGCAGGACTCTTCCAAGAGGAGATGTATTTGCAGCAGTAAACCCAAACCACCTCATTTTAGGGTAAAACCAAATACCTAACAACACGGCTGCCCACTATTAACCATGACAATATCAAGTGTTGCTTGAAGTCAGATACGAAGCTGAAGCGCTTGGGTGATTTACTAACTGGAGTCCTAGACAAGTTTCTGTACTTCAAATCTCATTTTATTGCTCTGATAAATAGGGATTATTACAGTACCTCCTTGTGATTTTAAGATTAATACATATACTGTATATAAAGTGTTTAGCATGGTGCTTGACCCAAATACATAGTCAAATATAAGTTTTCTAGGTGAAAAATGAGGTAGGAACAGATAACAACAGGCTTCCTGGAACCTGAAAAGACTACAACAGAAAAGGAAGAAGAAAGAGACAGAATAGGAACACCCTGTATTCCTAAATCCTTTAAAGCCCGTTAACCATTATACCAAGATGTCTCTACCTTGGCTGAAAAACCTCCCTGCACTATGAAGCCCATCTAGAATTTATCATAGGGCCAGAGAACAAGAATCTGGGGGTGAGCCTCAATACTAATGCTCCTAAGTTTCAAAAATGAGTGTCAAGCTCAAAAGTGATCATGAGAACCACCGTGGAAGATAAAATATTTGAGAAGTGCTGTAATATTTGAGACATGTTTCAGCTAAGATCTGATGCTTTACTTTGAGGCTAATATACCTAGCTGCCTACTCTTCACAATCTCAGGATCTCTATATTAAATTATCAAGCAGTCTTCCTAATGAGGTTTTCACTGATTCATCAGTATGACCTCACCTCCCCAGGGCATTCATTGCAACAAAAGGAGAGCATCACACTGAGGTGCCTTCACTCCTCCATTCAGGTATTCTGGCCAACCCATCTAGCCACGTTTCCACATCCCTCTTATCTCACTTAACGGCATCTCTGTTGAGTCTTTCCTTTATCCAAGATAATGCTGCCACACTGCCTTCAAATGTATTCATAATCAAATCTAGTATTAAAAAAAACCTTGTCCAATAAACATACTTCAATCCTAGTAGTTATATTGCCCTCTAATATACTGGTTAGGTTTCCAAAAGGTTTAACAATGTGAGAAATGGTCTCAAAAAGTTTGTAGAAACAAGAAAGCCATCAATAATTCATATTACAGTTATTTACTCTTATTCAGAAAGGGAAAGGGGATAATGTCTTGCATTTTGCTGAAATTTTTGTGTGTTCAATTCAAATCATGATTTTTTGGGACTATATAGCATTGTTGAAAAATAAAGTCACCCAAACAGAGAAAAATTTTACAGGAAAATTTGTTAAAGTTACTAGGTTAGGGGTACCTGGCTGGCCATGGGGGAGCATGCAACTTGATCTCACGGTTGGGAGTTCATGCCCCACAGAGGGCACAGACCTTACTTTAAAACAAACACACACACACAAAACAGGGGCACCTGGGCAGCTCTGTTGGTTAAGTATCTGCCTTTGACTCAGGTCGTGATCCCGGGGTCCTGGGATTGAGCCCCTCATTGGGCTCCCTGCTCAGCAGGGAGTCTACTTCTCCCTCTGACCCTCCCCCCTTTCACGCTCTCTAGCTCTCTCTCTCTCAAATAAATAAATAAAATATTTAAAACAAAAACAAAAAACTAGATTTTTAGTTTACAGGTGTTCATACCTCTCCAACTATATGAAAACTTTTATTGGAGGGTGTGATTAAAGGAGAAATACTACACTTGACTTAGTAATAATAGATTAAAGCTGGCTAATCAAACAGATTGCCATCTGGTCAATCAATTGCCATTTGAAAGGCTGCTCTAAAAATATCTTCATGTAAGTGTCTAAATCTTAACAAAATGTATTGACTCCTAATTAATTTAGGCTAGCTAGCAGGAAACAAATTTTCACTGGACATTTTATTTTTTATTTTCTTTTTAAAGATTTTATTTATTTATTTGACAGATCACAAGGCAGAGAGAAAGGAGGAAGCAGGCTCCCTGCTTAGCAGAGAGCCCCATGTGGGGCTCAATCCCAGGATCCTGGGATCATGACCTGAGCCGAAGGCAGAGGCTTTAACCCACTGAGCCACCCAGGTGCCCCTTCACTGGACATTTTAGATTCCCACTTATAATACAATTACCAAAACCTTCCAATATTCCCAAAATATTTCCCAAAATAGAGATGAAAAAAACATATTCTAATTCTACTCTAAACTTTCCAAGAAGTCACTATATACTAGTCTTGGGCATTAAAACAATCTCTAGCAGCCTTTAAAATAAAGCAGAGTTCATCAACCTGCTTCAGCTTAGTACACTGGCAGTAAAACACACGAAATACATATTTTCTTTTTTGTATAAAAGCAAATAGCCACAGTACAGAACAGTTAAGCAGGTGGCTGGCTACCCACTAACTTTGAGGCTATCTACTCTTCCAAAAAATGGGGACAATCTAGAATTCCCTGCCTCACAAGTTGCTGTGACATTCAAATGTAAAAATGTATATAAAAGTATATGATGAATCCTAAAGCAACAGGACTATTAAATATGTATACACATATACCCTCTTCTATCAAAAGTATATTCAAAGGCAAAAGATGTGATAAAAACCGTGAAACCCACAATCCCTTCATTTGAGCTGCTGTTTGGGGAAGTGTCAGGCAATAAATTGGAGCCAAGATTATCTAAAAAGTCATTCTTCACTCCAGATATAAATCTGAGGCACCAGACTGTTCTGTGAATCTTTCTCACACTTGCACATGTAGATTATCCCACAAAAGCCCCAACAAATCAAGAGCAACAAACAAGGAGTAAAAGCAAAGGACAAATTACTGAGAAAAGCGCACGATGCTTTCGGATGAACCATGCTCAGGTTTGCACAGGGAGGACTCAGGAAGAATGGGAGAGGTTCATTCTGTAGCATCCCGGCTTTGTGAAGCCATCCTGGCTTCCACAGAGCAAGGTGTTTAAGTGACTGATCAGCACAGCATGCTGATGATCCCACTGTACATCTGATTTGGCTCAGGATCACCCAATCGAATTTGGTAACACAGTAGACTCCAGAAGCACCACCCGTTAAAAACAATCCAAATACAGACTCTAAATGGGCATAAGGCCTTTTGTGATCTCCGCTGGAGCTTATAGTATCTAACAGCTGCAACTGTGACTGTTCTAGCTAATTGCTCTCAGCAACAAAAATAAACAATCGCTCCAGGAAGAAGACTGTACCCGCCAAATATTAATGAATTTTTTAACAGTCAGAAATCTCAAATCTTGGTTGAAAAGCCCTGCTACTGGTTTAAAAAAAAAAAAAAAGTCTCCAGGAACAAACAGGGTTGACGTGGCCTAGACAGAAAGTCCTTATTTTGTACTTAATCCTCCCCCGCACTTCTGCCCCCCCCCAAAAAGAAAAGGAAAACTGCCTTGTGTCTGGAAGAATTTAAGCAATGAGATATTTTAACTCATGTATAACTTTTTAACATATGGGGGAAAAGAGTCGTACTGATTGGAGCTATTTTTAAAGTGCAGCTCTATCGTAAAAATAGACATTTACTCATAAGGATGCTTGAATAGAGAACAAGCCCAATCTACGTCTCATTGTTAAGAAAGGGGTGAAAAAAGGCTGCTGTGCTTTCTGGAGAGCCGTTTATGGTCCGCCTGTGATGTCATGGCAGGATCCAGGTGCACTCTAACAAGCGTCTTTCAGCCTCCTCAATCCTTTTAAAAATGCTCTTCTACCATCAGCTACTTCCCTGAGCACAAGCAATAAGGAGCTAGTATTTACTCAGACCTTTGCAAGAGGGAAGATCACTGCAATCAGAGATGCATGGAAGGAGAAAGAAAAATTACTCACCCACAATTAGGTGCCTCATCATCCTCTCCTCGTCCAGCATTTCCTTTTGCTAAGGAGAGAAAGGATAGAAGCAGTTGACTTATCAGTACTCTGGGACATCTATATGTCTTCTGTGCATAAGAAGAAGTAGTAATTTCATAGCTCTCTCCCCATTCAGGCCCCAGCTGCTTAGGTGACCCTCACAACCACATACCCGCCGTAGATAATGGCAAGCAGGGATTTTAGGCATCTCCACAACATAATGCTTGGAGACATCAACCTGGTTTCTGGATCTCAACTGGTCTTTAGCCTGCAGCAATGGAGTTGTAATGAAAAACCATGTAGAGACCCTGAATTTAAGCCCTCCACAAGAAAATGTCAGCAGCAATCTGATACCATAAAAAACCAGCAACGGCTTTCACGTGCCAGGTCTTAAACCCAAATCAGAATGCGTTAGTTTATGTCTAAAACAACAAAACAAAACAAAAAACAAAAAAACTCTCCATACACACCTGGAACAAAACCAAAAAAGGGGGAAAGAATCCTTATCAAAAGAAAACCAAAAAGCAAATGTGAATGTTAAAGATTTTTGTTTAAAAGACTAGATACATAATCATGACTTTAAAAATGTCAGAGAAAGAAAAATAAATAAATAAATAAATATGCCAGAGAAAAAGAGGTGCTCAAATATCTTTTTCACAAGAATGAGTTAATTCTGATTTGTGCTTTTTGTACTTTATAAATTTTCCACAGGAACTGTATTATTATTGATTGAAATTATCCACAGGGATTAAAATAGCATCAAGTGCCTCATAATAAAATGTATGCATCTGCCTATGTTCAACTTCTAGATGCCATATATATCTGGCAGTATTTAAGAAATCTGATTCCACAAAAGAACACAGTTTATACAAGTTAATTTAGCACGTGTTTTAGTACTCAGTTATAGTGAAGGGCAAAGAGCCAGGAGTTAGGAGGGCTGGATTCAAGTGCCAGGTCTCACATTAGCAAAAGAACCTTTGAGAACCTCACCATCTCTGGGACGGATGCACACATCTGCAGAACAAGACCCCCAAAATGTCTTCCAGCTCAAAACCGGAGAAAAACTGGACATAAATTAAATGTTAAGCCCAGAAGCATGGCATAGCTACTGGTACAGAGCAGGTGCTCAATGTACATTTAATGAAAGAATTACCAAAAGGAAGTTTTAAAACATATTTAAAACAGAGCATCCCAACCTGTGTGCCACCATGTCGAAAAAGGGCTAATAGGTGTGTCAAGCTACTGATCTTCTCAGGAAAACAGCCAAAACCATTTGTAAAGCACAACTTTTTAAGTATACTAGCATTACGCACACAAAACCATCTTTATTTGGAGAAGTTCATGATCAACTTATAAAAGAGATTAACTTATAAAAAGTTCAAGATCAACTTATAAAAAAACTTATAAAAACTGCCCCTCATTAAGAAAGACAGCATGTGGGCACCTGGGTGGCTCAGTGGGTTAAGCCGCTGCCTTCGGCTCAGGTCATGATCTCAGGGTCCTGGGATCGAGTCCGGCATCGGGCTCTCTGCTCATCAGGGAGCCTGCTTCCCTCTCTCTCTCTGCCTGCCTCTCTGTCTACTTGTGATCTCTCTCCCTCTCTCTCTCTAATAAATAAATAAATAAATAATCTTTAAAAAAAAAAAAAAAAAAAAGAAAGACAGCATGTGGGTCTCTATCAACTGATACTCAAGCCATTTCATCTGAAAACAGAGAGCATGAGAAGCCCTTTGCTGAAGAAGCTTTGAAAGGGACTCTTCTCACACAATTATGGGTGTGAACAGGTACTTCTCTTAAGAATAAAGTCTGAAAACCAAAATCCTCTCAACATATACTTAGGTACATATGGAGAACACACACCAACCATTCTCAAAAGATGAAGTTCTGCAAAAGAATATTTAAGTAATACAGTAGCAACTGCAATGTGTGGCTTGAACATTTATAGCAAGAGCTACTTATCCTTTTTGATAGTAACTGGGGAATTTTTCGGTGTGAAAACCTGCAATATTTCTTGCAATTATTAAAACTCGTAACATCACAAAACCTATTTTTCTCTTGAGAAAAGAAAAGATCAGAAACATATGGAGGGGGTTACTTTCAACGTGGTGCTTAACTGTACTTCCCAACTGGCTGCTTTTCCTTCCGCATTCAACAAATGGAAGTTGTGCATCTTTTGGAAGCCCCATCGCCTGTATTTATGGGTCATACCCTTCCCTTCCCCCGTCTCACCATAGTCACTTCACCTCTGTCTCATCTGCAGTGCAATCCACAGAAAAAAGCTACCTTGCAACTGTACTTCATTCCAAAGTGTGGGTCACTCAGAAGGGGGTTGCCAGTTTCTTCAGATCTGCAAGGAAGTCCATGGTGGGGCTGGTGCCTTCTGAAACTGTCCAGGGAGGATTCTCGGAAGGAGTGTACAATGAAAATCAGAGTTAGAGATGGCACGTGGCTGACCACGATCTGTAGGTCCAAGGGGCCTGCAGAATAAACAAACAAGTCCTCCTCCCTAAAGGGCCGCTTCAATGGTCTGCCTTTCTTTCCTATGGTTCTTCATGGAAAGGGAAGGTGTGGTTATAAACTGAGCTCCCAAAAAACCCCAGAAATGTAAAAAGCTATCAAACTAAAACCTCATCTTGGAAATACCTGAGGAACATCTGAGACAATGTTCTCCTCATCTTATAGGAATGTGGCTCTTGAGCAATATGGATTAAGAATGAAAATAAACTGCAGTCCAATATTAAGAGTCAAATGGGTACTATGGCCCTAGAAATAGTATAAACACTATAGAAGGAGCACTTTACCATCTAAAATCACGGAGTTTGAAAGATATACACACTGACAAATAGATTGGTCTGTGTTCTGGGGAGATTACTGGAGAGATTTTGTAGGGATTTTTGCTTTTGTTTTGCATACATTGAACAAATGCTCCAAATAAATGTCTACCTTAAAAGAAGGCACTGTCCTTCCTAGCAACTCCAAAAATCACATATTACCTATTATAGTAAGTATTTCTAGTGCTGCAGTAGAAATATGGGCAAAGGAACAAAAGCAAAGTTTTTAATGTTTAGATACTTTGTATTTCATTATGGACTCAAATTTCTGACTCATCTGAGATTTAACTAGTCAGACATAAAAATGTTTAACAAAATCAGAGGTCTATATTGAATGACTGAATTGCCCAGAAAATACTATAAAGTAGACAGAAGCTCACCCACATGTCTTTGAGCAGTGTTCTCTTGACTTCCCACCCCCCCATCTCTTTCAAATCCCACTTAATGCCCCAGCTCAATTGCTACCCTGTGTGACTTCCCATTTCCACCCAAATTACCCTTCCAACACACACACACACACCCCACTCCCTTCCTCTTTTTAATGTACTTTGTCCACAGCACTCTTGATCTTCTTTCTACTGTATCGATACTTGTAGATGTGAACAAATCTTGAGCACAAGACAGACTGTGTAAGAACAGAGAAGCGTATGTCATGCAAACACTTATGTCTGCCCCTTTGAGACACTGTACATTGTGGGGGTTCGTGCTTGGTTGCTATAAGGTATTTGAAAATGTAACACCCATAAGTATTTCTGGGGGTTAGTATCAATTACTACATCTTAACCTGCATCTTTAGTTAAATTAAAAGTAATGTTAATATTGAATTTGAGACCATAAGATTGTGACATGTCTTAATTCAAAGAATAATGCCAGTCGGCATACTTTTAATATTCAGGGTATTTTACCATATTAATGCTTTGTAAATCACCCCTATGTTATATGTTTACAGAGGGCAAGAAGATCTGGCCAAATTCTTCCATCAACCCAACTATTCAGATGAACAGTGTCTTATTGTATATGATAACTTTCATTTGTTTCAGAAAGGATATGGACAACTTAATGCATATGAGAGCACTTCAAGATTCACTAAATGACACTAATGTCAGAAAAAAAATACGCAAATGAGCTAGTAATTAAATCCAAGAAAGGAAAAGCAGGATCCATAAGAAGGGGAAAGCAGGTTCACCTTTGCAAGTTATAACTGGACTTACAATAACTAAAGCAAGTTAGCTTGAAACCTATTCTGGGCTCTCAGAGCACTTACAACATTGTGGTCCTGGCCCTGTGGCTTATCTGTCCTCCAATCTGGGTGACAGTTTCCAAAAAGTAAGAGCCACACCTTGGTCATTTTTATAGACTGCGGGCACAACACACAGTACACAGATAACCAATAAGCCCATGCTGAACAGCCAAAACAACTTCTGTTTATTTCTATAAACCAGAATTCTGGAGAGGTTAATTTCAGTAACCCTATTGTCAACAGGCTGCCTGTATTAATGGTATAGATGTTTTAATTCTTCCAACTTAAAGGGAATTGAGCCTATTTCTGGGAATTTTCAGAGAAAGAATACAAAGAATAGTAGAGAAACAGGAGCCACTTCCCTGCAATGACTGAAGTTATAAATGTTCTTCAAACAATAATCGTTATGATTTGGGCAATACTTCTCTTTGAGGTTCTGATATGGTAACAGATACAAAGGATCAAAACCAATGCCTCTTAAATGTATCGTCTGATAAAAAAAATATATGCATACTCTTCTGGAAGTATATTAAAATTTCAACATAGTTACTGTTAAAATATATGCATTTTCTTATTTCTAGGTAACCCTCTGAAAAGGATGTTACAAGCTTTCACTACATTTTTGAATCTCTCATAAAGTAAGGGCAGGACTCTTACAGTCTTTTTTTTTTTTTTAACAAAAAGGCTAAATTGCTAACACTTTTACTCAGACCAGATTGAAATAATGTAAAATGATGTTAAGATTTAAAAATTTATGTTGGCAACCCTAACACAGAACTGCAATACTCTAGGATTATTTGCATTATCTCTCCCTGAGGGGAGAAAGGATTCTAAGGGTGAAAAAAATCTCTGAAGTATACCAGTAGTCTCACCAACCTTCTTTCCTGAGAATTTCTCCACTATCTGCTCAAATATAAAAGAACTGCTGACATGCAAACCAGTCAAAATACAGGTAAGCATGCAAGAGGAGAGAGGTAAGGGAGTGGGGGGGAGATGTTCTGATATCACAAAATCAGAGTATTAAATTCATATAATAAAGAAGCAGGTATGGAGATTTGAGATTAATTGCATGTTAGAAGAAAAGGAAATGTCTTGTCACTCAGCTATGCTCTTGACTACTAAGTTGTAAATTCAGGACAATTACTTTAGAATGGCTTTTTACAAAAAACAACTTACAGATATCAAATTTTAAAAAGCCATTTAGCACATTTTATAAGAAAAAAGAAGTACTTCATTAGTGCATCAAATTTTCTTAAGTTCTACAGAAGTAGACTCTTCACATAAAAGATCAGTGAGAAGTATTTTTCTTCCTCCACAGACCTGGTAAGGATGTGTAATGAGAACTGAACAGGTATATGCAACACAGATTTGACCCAGTTCCTGATGTGGACCCGTGCTACCCACATCAGCCTTAACCAAATGAAAACGGGGGTTTCTGAATTCAGAGAAGCGTCGCTTCACAATCTGGCACTTGGGCAACAAAAATAAATCTCACACACCAGCAGTTAATCCCACAGGTGAATTAAACCTTGCCGGCAGAAGCAGAGTAAGTTATCTTCCTTCTCTGGTTTTTCTTTAGCTCAAGTAAATGTGTGAGGACAATTCTCATTTGTTTAAGAAAAAAAAAAAAAAAAGTTGGTAATTATTAAATCAGAGAAACAGAATGATGTCAGCATCCAATTACCCAAACTTTACAACTAGCAGATGAAAGCAAGTATTCCTATAAAAATTACTCATTAAGTAATATTTGAAAGCTAACTATCAGAAATGTCATTCAAAAAAAATTTTTTTTTGCACATTCTACTTCAATTAACATGCTTCTGGAATTCTTACTTTAGATAACACAGCATTCAACTAAAGCTCTGAGAGAACCTCTTAACTCAAGAGGGTAAGTTTATAAGCCTGAGCACAGGAGCCCCCAAAATGTGTATAAAGACCTACTCACCACACTGTTCTTTCCCTTCAACTTTGTTTATTGATGTACTGAACATGAAAAAGTACAAAGAATCCAAACACAAAAGAAAACATGTACAGCCTCTTAAATACTCAACAGAATATATTTTCTATTCCAACAGATGTGAATTAAGTCATACTGTACAACTTCAAATAAATACCAGCCTTACATTTTATTAAGTGCTCTGATAAACACTGTAAAGTGAAGCACAATTTGCATGCCCTCTCATCAATGCCTTGGTTTGCTACAGTAGTATAGGAAAGAAGCATGTAGCTGCTGTTTTCCCAGGAGGGAAACCTTATTTTTTTTTTAAGTATATACATGTATTTTGTTTTTTAGTTTTTTTTTTTTTTTTAAACGCAGAAGGTTAACTCTGACAATCTAAATGCACCTAAGGATATGAGAAAGTGCTAAGCCAATTGATTTCTGAATAGCATTGAGTGGGTCAGCATGAAAACTCGCTTATTCACTTTAGCACGCGCCTCACAGTATATGTACTGTACTATACTGAAAAATTTTATAACTACAATTTTAAATAATAAAAAATAAAACTCAACGCAACCGCAAAGATAATGTACAACTATGTTATGCATAGCACATTGCCTGTTCTAAGGGGAAGCATGTGAGCATCTCAGTTTATACAAAAAGCAGGACGTAACTATATAGTTCTCAGTGCATCCTGATGAAGGCATTTTTGCCTTCAGCTTTTTTGAAAATTTATTATAAGCTAGATGCTAATCAGAAAATATTTTGTATTTTTTAAAATTTCTTTCATACATGGTAAAGACTTATTTTATTATTTCCCCAAATAGTGGTTTAAGCATCATACAAAGTTAAATTTCAGTAGCATACAGATATTTATGATTTTTGTATGAAAAATGTAAGGAAATTTGTTCAAAACCTATGGTTATACTCATTTTTTTTTTTACCACAAACATATTTATAAACGAAAATGTAGCATCACCATAAACAGCTGAAGCTAGACTATCTACAGACAAAATTAGCAACAAATCTGATGCACTGTAAATTCAAGTCCTCAGGACAACAAAAGTGATTAAGCAAGACCTCAAGTAACAATGTTAATGCCATTTACAAAGGAAAAAACTGATACAAAAACATTCAAAACCTGAACATCACTTGGCATGTAAGGGAAAAAAAAATCAAATTAGCTGAAAGGTTCATAAACACAAGGTCTTATTTACATTACACAAAGCTCAGGTGTTAGCCTTGAACGTAACTTTCAAAATACCTTCAAATATATCCAACTCAGATCACTTTTGCCGATTTGCTGCAGTACAAATCATGTGCAACATCTTTTTTCCTTAAGACAAAACAATTCTTCAAACAATACTGCAAGTACATCACTAAACACCATGAGCTCTATCTGAAGGGATTTCTTTAGGAAGAACAGATTTTTATTTCCCCCATCTCTTGGTAATTTAAATTTCTTGCCTGCTCTTATATATTCTTTTGTAAATTTTTTTTTATTTGTTTCAAAATCACAAATCAATGTGAGCCACCTATCACATAATAACCAGGATGATCAGACGCTCCACTGGTGATTACAAAAACGAAATCAGCAGTGTTTCCCCCATTGATTCTACTCCTTTCATACAAAGATCTCAAAAGTAGTATTTTCTACATCATAAATCTTTCTAAATTTTCCAACCGCTGCAAATTTCCTGGTAAATTTTAAAAGCTCACTAGGTGTCATATGAAGAGATTTCTCAAAGTATTCAAGTCAAAATATTTGTTCCAGGACCAGTAAAAAGTTTCTCCAAATTTTCTTTTTTATAAAAATAGATGCTTTTTTTAAACCCACATCAAAGAGGCTCTTATCTCTTTGGCAAGGTACTGCTTTACGAAAAGTTCTCCAGTATTCTTACAATAAGCGTTTATAATGTAGCCCCCCCCCTTCCCCAACCCAAATCATAATTACAAAATAAATACTGTTTTTAACTTCATAAATAAAAATGTAAACTTCAAAATACTTTTCTTAGACATAACAGCAATGCTTTAAATGTAAACCAAACACAAAGCTAATTGGAAAAAGAAAGAAAAGGGGGAAAAAAAGACACAACCAACTGAAGAATTACAACACAAAGCCTCAATATTTACTCACAGGTTCAAGGCAGTTATGTAAAAAGAAAAGAAATGTCTTCCCTTAGCTGAAACACTTTAAAAGGTCCACCTTCTTCAAAGAAGGC